ATTATGTGGAGGAAGCTAAACAAGCCCTAATCGATTTGAAAAGCGTAGTAAAAGAACCCGGTTGGAAAAAGATAATGTCACATAAATATACTACAGTTTATAGTAAATTAGGATCTTTAAGACATCAAAAACTTCCGGTATTTATGGGTCAATGCGAAATTCGGGGCTTTAGTCCGATACCAATTTTTACTATGATCGGAAAGAGAAGGCTTTGGGATGACTGGTAATGATTATTCATCTTACTTTATGAAATAAAATGATGATAATAATAATTTTCATTTAATTTAAAAAAATAATTATAGGTTTGAGGAAGGAAGGGTAATTGAAAGTTTGGACGATACAACAAGCTTAACATATATGGTTATGCAAGGAATTTCTGGGTCAAGGTAAATCATATATATATTAAAAGGTTGCATACGGAATTGCATTATTAATTTGTTCTAAAAAAGATAAATAAATAAATAACATAAATAAAACAGGGCACGAGATGTATCTTTGGTGGAAAAAGTTGAATGGACTCCGAATGGAACGATCTATTTTGTATTTACATCGGTCAATACAATAAAAATACCACCTGTTGCTGGTAGAATTCGTTCAGCTCTCAGTCTTAGCGGCTGGATCATTGAACCTATTTCTAGCAATCCACCTAGTACAAAAGTGACGTATATTCTTCAACTTCATGTTAGAGGATGGATTCCTTCGGTAGTTGCGAAAAAGTATTTGGCAAGACGTCCTCTTATAATTAATAAAATCTATAGTTATTTGCAAAAGCATGGTGCACCTGAAATGTCCCTTCCTCCTACGCCAACAGATCCCAAACATATGTCATTTCTTCTAGATAACAATGAACTATCAAATGATAAAAAATTGAAGGCACTGGTAGTTGTAGATAACGAACAAGATGAACCAAAAAGTAATAATGAAGAAGAAAATTCTAAACTCATACCTAAAGATCTTGATCAGCCACCTGTTTTACCCTCACCATCCAAACTTACTCCTTCGATACACCAACCAACTTCATCGTCTGAAAATCACCCTAAATTACCTCGAGAACCTAAACCAGAATCAAAAGAACCGATCGTAAAC